ACACACACACACACACACACACACACACACCATCTACAATAAATGACACCAATTTGGAAGCGTTTTCACTAATACTTCTGAGGACAGATACTGAGAAAATTCTAATGACCAAAGAATGATAAACAAAAATTAATTTTATAATTCTAGTGCTAACTCTTTAAGATATGTAAAATATCACTTGTACTTTCTTAAATACTTTCTTTTTATTTTAGTGTGCAAAGAAGTTATAGATGAATATTTATAAGAGCTTTCAGAAATTCCTAAAAACCTTCATTTTGTAAAGCTTTTCTAAAAAAATTTATGTTTCTCTTCAGTGAATTCACCCAGCACAGCTGGAAAATGAGGAAACACATCATTTTATTCTTAATGTTAGTTGGAGGAAACCTCAGTTCCCATTAATATAATCTACTATGACTAAATAGATTATTTTATATCCAACCATTTCCTAAAAAATGTATCAGAATGGGTATGAAATGACTCAGCCCACTTAACTGTACATTGGAGGCCAGTCACCTAAGCCCGTACCCCCCAAAGAGCCGACAGCACTCAGCGTGATGGGTGGACAGAGGATGTGTCCACGTGGGGTGCAGAGCTCCATGGGCAGGAGGCTGGGCTCCATGTTTCCTAGGAGCCACCCTCTTATGCGGGTACATACCATCTTCCTCAGCTCCTGGTTGGAAACAATAATGACATTTGGTGGGTCCCCAATGGCGGTGGCAGCTCCTCCAATGTTTGTGAAGATCACTTCTGCAATGAGCACTTGTCTGGGATCAAGGTTCAGCACCTCACATAACCTGTCACAGAGAGAGGACACACAAGTCCCGCTGTCCACACTGAAAGGCCCATGTGCAACCTGGATATGTCTAAAGCGCTTGCACAAGAAAAGTACATGCACACATGCGCACATGCAGACACACATGTGCGAGCACACACACTTGTGTATGCACAAACACACAAGTACACACACAGTCACACACACACAAGCACACACAACATGTGTGCACACACACATACACACACACATGCTAAGGACCTGTAAGGAGAGCAATGCTGAGGGATGAATGACAACGCTACAGAAATACAAACAACAGTTGACTCAGAATTATATTTCCCTGAAAGTTAGCCCACGACCCATCTGAACCATCAGTGTACAAATGTATCCCCCACCCCACCCCCCACAGGTCTAGAGGGAGCATAGTCCCCATGTGCAGGTCTCCAGGGGAGGGCAGAGCCAGGCACAGGTGAATGGACATGGACCACCAGACCCCTCTGAGTAAGGGGTGGGGCTGAGCAGAAAGCAACACCGCTCAGCGGCTCACACCAAACCTGCACACCTGGTTCCTTACCCACTTCCCTTTCTCAGGTGTGGAGGCCCTTCCCTTTAACCACTACCCACAGA